AGGCACACATACAGACATACAGACACACACAGACACACAGGCACACAGACACATACAGATACACAGACACACACACAGACACACATACAGGCACACACACAGATAGACAGACACACACACAGACACACAGGCACACACACATACAGATACACAGACACACACACAGACACACAGACACACATACAGGCACACACAGACACACACACAGACACACATACAGGCACACACAGACACACACATAGACACACACACACAGACACACACATAGACGCACACAGGCACACACACAAACATAGACACACAGGCACACACACAGACACATACACACACACACAGACACACACATATAGAAACACACACACAAGCACACAGGCACACACACACAGACACACACACAGGCACACAGACACACATAGACACACACACAGGCACACAGACACGCACACACATACACACACATAGTACGACCCGCGTGGTGAAGTATGGCTCAGGCAAACCGCGTGACCGGCACGGCGTGGCGAGGGAGTCATCCAGCAGTGGATTTGGCAGGGAGGCCTCCCATTGGCGCAGACGCGTGACGCCATCGCCTCGCAACTCAGAGTTCGGTCCCGGTCAATGTTCAGCTCGGCTCATCATCATCATCGTCGTGATAAATGGTTACGGTCGATACAATCAGGCACCACTTTGTTGAACACTTCACAGCGATCATCGTATCGATCGACCGGACACCCCTTGCCCATCGCAATGTGGAATTTCCATCGGCTGGCTTTGGGAGCGGGTCCCGAGAGAGGCGAGTGACGGACATCCCATCTCTCGCTCTCCTCTTTTCGGGGCGTGGCAGTAGCCCGGAGATGTTGACTACCTCGCCTGGTGCGCAGGAGGTCGTGGGTTCGATCCTGACCCTGACGATGCCTGCTGATGCATATTTGGAGTCTGCGTTTCTCTCTCATCATCATCGTCATCACGGTGGCTAGGAGATGTTAACAACCTCGCCTGGTGTGCAGGAGGTCGTGGGATCGATCCCGACCCTGACGATGCCTGCTGCTGCGGTTGCATGGATTTTTTTCCGGGTCGTCCGTTTTTTTCCCTGCACATAGGAGGGGGGTGGGTTAGATCTGGTATATTTGAAGTTTGTGGCTCTCGCGATCTAACCCCCCAAAAAAACTCTCTATTTTGGATGACATTGGTCGCGGAAACCTGCTGCCGTGTTAAACCGACAAACCTCGATGGGGTGGATACTTTGCTTCCTGATGATGCCGGTTGTCATTACTGGCGAAACGTCGGACTTAGATTGCAAACGTCGTTGTAGATTTGCCTCTCTAACGAATTGGCCGCCCTCTGTTTGACGTGACGGACCATCCTACTAATTGGCTGTGTCGGGTGGTGGCGGGTCTAACGACACACGTTCGCGCAGGACTATGTCTTAAACTCGATAGTTATCTTTCGATTTAAAGCATTCGTGACTGCAGGGATTCATCTTCTTGGTTCTTTCGGTAAAGTCACGTAGAAGGGAAATAATAAAATGATAAAAATTCAACATAATAAAATAATTCTCACGACGTTTCGGCCACAACGCAAGCAGCCGTCCTCAGGTGAATGTAGCAATGAGCGATGCGGTTGTGTGGCCATTGTCTTTATTTAAAAAAAACACAACAACATAGGCAATGGAAAATCTTGACTTGAAGCTTTCGTGACCGCAGGAATTCATATTCTTTGGGTCTTTCGGTAAAGTCACGTAGATAGAAAATAATAAAATAAAATAAAAAAGAATTTGAAAATAATAAAAGCAAAAAACCGACACGACGTTTCGATCGCAACACAAGCGGTCTTCATCGGGCGGAGAAGTCACGTCGATAGGTTGAAAGGTTAGACGGTCGGCAGGTCGTTCCACCCCACTCCTGGCCAATGAAGCCTCCTAAGGCAAGCCGTCACGTGCAGGTCGGGCAGGAGACTTCGTGGCCGTGCGCGACGTTGGCGCTCGGGGTGACCCCACTCCTGACAAGCCATCCTCGCGCTCCAGCGGGTGACCTCTCTCGCGAAGCTAAAACATCTAAAAGACAAATCCCGCACGCGGTAGACCATCTCGTCCGTCCTCTCGGCCCGCGTCGCGTTCCCGTCCTTTTGCTTTGCCACTCCGTCAACGAGCCTCGTCCACCACCGACCAACGGTGATTCGCGTGCGCGTGCGTCTGTGTGCGCCTGCCCGAGCTCAACGTTGTTCGCTGGCGCACGGCATTAATGCCCGTGACCTGCGTGCGGACCTCTGATCCACGCGCCTCCCTCCTCCTGTCTCTCGGCGTCGGCCCACGAGCGCGGCACCTCGGTGGGCTACTCGCCGTGCCGAAAGAGGCGCAATCCTCCCGTCTGTGTCGCTCGTGCCTTTGCCGTGCAACCTCCGCTGTGGACCACCATGCAGTCAACCCTTTGAGACGCGTGGCGGCTCGTACAGATGCACGTTGAGGCGCAAGCGACAGTGGTGCGACTGTGGCCATGCAGCCCATACTGTGAACCGCACAGTAAACTCATAGAGACCCACGGAGACTCATAGAGATGCACAGAAACCCATAGAGATACATAGAGATACACATAGACTCAGAGACCCATGGAGACCCATAGAGATACACAGAGACTCATAGAGATACATAGGGACTCATAGAGACCCATGGAGACCCATAGAAATACATCGAGATACACAGAGACCCATGGAGACTCATAGAGCTGCACAGAGACCCATGAAGATACATAGGGACTCATAGAGATACACAGAGACTCATAGAGATACATAGAGACTCATAGAGATGCAGAGATACATAGACACCCATAGAAATCCATATATATATACTTATATATACAGAGACTCATAGAGATACACAGAGACCTATAGAGACCGCATAGCAAACGCCATTTTGTGGGTCTGTGCTCCTTCATTGGAGGAGGAAGATCAGCAGCACCACACGAACTCTCTCTCTCCGTGCTGAAGGCCTTTCTCTCGTCGTGACAGCAACAGCAGCAGACCTCCACATTAGCATCCGGCTCCCGGACATCAACATCGTTCGCGGCCACTGCCATCAGACCCAACAGGAAACATTAGATACATCTTCCCACGTCTTTCTTAGTCTCACTGACCTCTATGTATCTTGCCTACCACAGCTCGCGTTCCTCACTGTGTTGTTCATCCTTTGCAGTGTCCACTGCGTACGATTCCATCGCGCGTCCAGATACGCATCGAGTTACCTGGTTCAATGGTCCGTTTTGTTTATTGACGTGATGTTTATTTCTCCATCCACTGCCCTCCCCCTTCCTTGCCTAGATGTCCTACCCAGAGGAGTGGCTCGCCGTGGGTAGAAGAGGAAGGCCACAAAGGTGGCGTTGGAGGGTCCCCACCGCGTGTATTTGGCAAGCTAACAAGCCACCGTGCTTCTCTGTCAGTTTGTCAAATACACCGGGTGGTGATGCCTCCACATCATCAGCAGCAGCAACATCAGTGACATCGTTGTCGACAGCACACACCGTCTTGTTACCATTGCAACGATCCCTAAAACATAATAATTCCACGAACCTCCTACCACTCTGATGTCAATCCCTGCACCGAGTTGAGCGGAGAAAGGGAATGATTGGTGGCTGGAGATGAGAACACGGTGCGACGTGTGACGATCTGTGACTGGTGAGCTGAGAATTAGGTGACAGGATGAGTGGGAGGGAATGGAAGAGGGGACTGTGGAGAATAAGAGGTCACGTGGGAGGAGGGACGAGAGCAGAGAGCTGTGGATGAAGGCGTGAGCTGTGTGTAGAGAGCTGTGGATGAAGGAGAGAGCTGTGTGTGGAGAGAGCTGTGGGTGAAGGAGGGAGCTGTGTGTGGAGAGAGCTGTGGATGAAGGAGAGAGCTGTGTGTGGAGAGAGCTGTGGATGAAGGAGGGAGCTGTGTGTGGAGAGAGCTGTGGATGAAGGAGGGAGCTGTGGTTGTAGAGAGCTGTGGATGAAGGAGGGGGCTGTGTGTGGAGAGAGCTGTGGATGAAGGAGGGATCTGCGTCTGGAGAGAGCTGTGGTTGAAGGAGGGAGCTGTGTGGAGGGAACGTGAGCCATGTGTGACGGAGGTGGAATAAAAGGTCTTGGAACCCTGACCTGTCTCCACTCATCGCTTCATCAGAGTCCTCCAGTCTAAATAAAGATTCTACATCGTCATCATCATCGCCACCAGTTGTAGTCTTACTGTCATTACCTTTTCTTCAGCTCCGGTTCTACCCCCCGCCCCCCTCCCCTCCACGTGTATAATCACAAATGAATCGTCTGATAACACTTTTATATAGAGGACTGCAGAGCTTAGCGAGGGGTGGGCAGGCAACTTGGCACCTGCTGACCTCGCAGCTGCTGCTGCCTCCCCGCTCCTCGTCTGTGGTTCTTCCTCCTGGCGCCGCTGCATCGTCCTCTCCGTCTACAAGAGCGAGCGTACTGTGTGCGGCGCCGCGTTACAAGTTCACCGCATTATTGCCACTACTCCACTTGGACGACACACAGCCAACGGCAGTGCATCGCCCACTGCTGGCAGACGAATGCACAGGGGTGACAGCTGCCACCGGGGGTGCCCCTAGGTTAGGCGTCGGCAACCTGCGGCTCTTTAAGGACTGCTTTGTGACGTCATTCACATTCTTTGCGGATCTTGAAATATTGAGTTTTTTTTACCGATTTCTAAAAAATGGCTCTTATTGTTATTTTGGTTGCAAACCCCTGCCCTAGGCTATATACCGCACAGCAGCAATCATCACCCCCTATGGGGAGCAGACTAATGCACAGGAACAGCGACCACTGTGGGTGACCCTTTCAAATACGTTGAGATGATATGTTTTAAAGAGGAAGACGATGCCTCTATCGAAACACAAATCGGTATCGTCACCTGCGCCGTTATTTAGTCTTGACCGTCAGAACCATCATCGTCATCAATCAACATCACCAACAACATCATGCACACAGACTTGAAGTTTAGTTTTAATCCTTTAATCACACATCCTAGCGGAGGCTACACGAATCAAGGTAAACCAGCGGCAGAAACATACTAATATATAAAATTAATCAGCAATGGCAAGGCGGCTATATAAGCCTGACACCAAATAGTGCCAGTAAGACTTTGACACGGCCACTTTGAAGCTGACCTCGCCATTGTGAACCAGACACGGCCATTCTGGTGAGCCGAGCAAAGAGCGGTGCATGAACCCCGTGACAGAGAGGGACACTTAGACCCACCAGGGCTTGAATCCACAACCCCAGAGCTTACCGAGCTCTGTGTCCTACACGGCCATTATGAACGGGATCTTCATGAAACATTTTGCTTGTTATAAATTGCATTACAGGTTTCTCCTCGCTTTTACGCGATAGTCGTAATAGTAGCAGATGTGTTCCAAAGAAAGGGCGCACAAAGCAAAGCCACTCTAGGAGACAACTGCCTGGCGAGTAGCGCACACACAGTACACGCACAATGTAGTCACACGTACGACTGCACAGCCGCATGTAGAGTGAATTCAAACTGCACGCAGCGAATTTTGGTAAGCCGCATATAGGCAAAATAGCATAAACCGAGGGAAACCTGTACGCGGAATATCTAAATAGGTGTCTAAAGGTACTACGTTGTTAGATTTGTTCAAACGTTTTCAAGTGGCACGGCAGTAGGGATGCGATTGGCCGGCTACGAGACGGCCAGCGCTGCCCAGGGCAACGTCATCGTTTAGTAGGAGAAAATGGCCGCCGCCGGTTTTAGAATCGTGTTGGGCGGGCGCTCAAAGATTCAAGAATTCAACCACAACTTTAAAACTATTCAAAAGCTCTCGCATTGAAACTAAATGATACTTTATGCTACAATCTTTTTCTCGATAATGTATTTTATCATTGCCATTAGAAACTGTCTAGATTTTTATCTCTTCCAACTCGGGTTGAAAGCGTGAATAATAAAGCGCTTGTTAGCTCTTTCTGTCTGTTAATTGTCCACGTCATAATCAAAAGGCTACCCTATCATAGGTGTCTGCTACCTCATTGTCCACCTCGTCACAGTCGTCCACCTCTGCAGTTGTCTATCTGCTGTTGTCCACCCTCATCACGGTCCACTCGCTGGTGTCCACCTCATCCCGTCTGTCCGGCCTTGTGACTCATCTACCTCGTCAGTTGTCCACCTGGCCCCAGTTGTAATCATTGTCCACCTTCTCCCAGTCGTCCATCTCGTCACTGTCCATCTTGCATCAGTCGTCCATACTCATCCCCGTTGTCCACCTCACAGTTGTCTTCTGCGATTCATGTTTTATTGTACCAGGCAAGGCCCCACTGAGCCGCTATGCAGGTCTTTTTCAGAAGCGACCCCCTGGCCATCACAAACGATAGCTCCTCAACTAAGTGGCTTATCGTCAACATCATAATCCATCTGTCGCCGTCACCTCGTCCGCCACCGTCACCTCGTCAACACCGTCACCTCTGTCACCACCGTCACACCACCGTCACCTCCGTCACCACCGTCACACCGCCACCACTGTCACCACCGTCACACCACCGTCACCTCGTCACCTCGTCACCACCGTCACCACCGTCACCATCGTCACCACCGTCACACCACCGTCACACCACCGTCACCTCCGTCACCTCGTCACCACCGTCACACCACCGCCACCTCTGTCACCACTGTCACCCCCACCGCTCACAGCGCCTCGTACTCGTCGATGCGCTGCTTGGTGGTGCCCCTGCGGATGCGCCGCAGGGTGTGGAAGCGCGCCGCCCTGTGCAGCGTCGGCTCCCTCGGAGACCCCGCAGGCATCGTCGCCTCCTCCTCCCTCGCGGGCTGCTGCCCCTGATGCTGCCCCTCACGTGACTCCACCAGGGAGGCGGCCACGGCCTTGGGAGGGTGGGGGCAGGGGGATGGGAGGGTGGAGGGGGATGGGAGGGAGGGCAGGGGGATGGGAGGGGGATGGGAGGAGGGGCAAGGGGTGGAAGGGGGGAGGGGGATGGAAGGGGGCAGGGGGATGGGAGGGGGGTAGGGTCGGTGGGGAAGGCGGTCACGTGTAGGCAAAATAAAATCACGTTGTTACAAGTTTCAAGCAAAGACACAAATATAAATAGCACGTTAGCAAAATGGTAGCGATTATGATGGTGGTAGCGATGGTGGTGATGGTGATAACGTTGGTGGTGATGGCAATGATGGTGGTGATGGTGATGGTGGTGGTCGTGGTGGTGGTGGTGATGATGGTGGTGGTGGTGGTGGTGATGATGGTGATGGTGGTGGTGATGGTGGTGATGATGGTGGTCGTGGTGGTGGTGATGGTGGTGGTCGTGGTGATGGTGGTGGTCGTGGTCGTGGTGGTGGTGATGGTGGTGGTCGTGGGGATGGTGGTGGTCGTGGTCGTGGTGGTGGTGATGGTGGTGGTCGTGGGGATGGTGATGGTGGTGGTCGTGGTGATGGTGGTGATGGTGGTGGTGGCGGTGGTGGTGATGGTGGTGGTGATGTGAAACACCTTGAGCTGGGAGTTCCTCATCTCGACCTTCGAGTCCTGGACCTTCTTCAGCTCGTCGGGCACCTCGTAGATCCCCGACGACACTGACGACGACGAGGACCTGCGGGACGAGCCAGCAGAGGAGAGAGCCTGACCGCTTCGCCCTCGCCCATGAGATGGTGATGATGGTGATGGTAGTGATGGTGGTGCTGATAGTGGTGGTGGTGATGGTGGCGGTGATGGTAGTGATGATGGTGCTGATAGTGGTGGTGGTGATGGTGGCGGTGATGGTGGCGATGATGATAGTGGTGATGGTAGTGATGGTGGTGGTGATGGTGGTGATGGTGGTGATGGTGGTGTTGGTGATGGTGGTGGTGATGATGGTGGTGACGTTGATGATGATGGTAGTCGTGGTGATGGTGGTGATGGAGGTGGTGATGGTGGTGGTGATGGTGGTGATGGCGACGGTGGTGATGGTAGTGATGGTGGTGATGGTGGTGCTGATGGTGGTGGTGATGGTGGCGATGGTGGTGGTGGTGGTGATGGTGGTGGTGATGGTGGTGATGGTGGTGATGGTCCTCACCTGCGCGAGTCGCCGTGCCCGTTGTGCTGCTGCTGCTGTTCGTGTCCCCAGCGCTCTCCGTCCGTGAGGTCCCCGTGGGGCAGCGGGGGGAGGTCACGGGGGTGGGGCCTAGCGGGGGGAGACATGGAAACAACCTCCCACGTGTCTCCCCACGTGTCTCCCTCCCCCCCCAGTGTCTCCCTTCCCTCGTGTCCCCCCCCCCTCCCCGTGTCTCTCCGCGTGTCTCCATGTCTCCCCGTGTCTGCCCTGCATGTCTCAATGTGTGTCTCTGCGTGTCTCTGCGTGTCTCCCGTGTGTCTCCGCGTGTCTCTCCCCGTGTCCCCGTGTCTCCCTGTGTGTCTCCGCGTGTCTCTCCCCGTGTCCCCGTGTCTCCCTGCGTGTCTCCGCGTGTCTCTCCCCGTGTCCCCGTGTCTCCCTGTGTGTATCCGCGTGTCTCTCCCCGTATCCCCGTGTCTCCCTGCGTGTCTCGGCGTGTCTCTCCCCGTGTCCCCGTGTCTCCCCGCGTGTCTCCACGTGTCTCTCCCCGTGTCCCCGTGTCTCCCTGCGTGTCTCCCTGCGTGTCTCTCCCCGTGTCTCCCCGCGTGTCTCCGCGTGTCTCTCCCCGCGTGTCTCCCTGCGTGTCTCCGCGTGTCTCTCCCCGTGTCTCCCCGCGTGTCTCCGCGTGTCTCTCCCCGTGTCTCCCCGCGTGTCTCCCTGCGTGTCTCCACGTGTCTCTCCCCGTGTCCCCGTGTCTCCCCGCGTGTCTCCGCGCGTGTACCTGCCCTCGTCCATGCGGAGCTGCGTGATCTCGGGGAGGGTGTCTCCGTGTCTCCGAGCGTAGAGCTCGTGGTTCCCCGCGCAGGCGGACAGCACACGTCGGTTGGCCCGCACGCTCGGGACCAGGAACTCAAAGTCCTGGGACACCACAGGTGGACACGCGGGGGACACGCCGGGGGACACGGGGACATGCGGGGGACACGCGGGGGACACACATGGGGACATGCAGGGCAGACGCGGGGAGACACGGAGACACGGGGGGGGGACACGCAGAGACACACATGGAGACATGCATGGCAGACGCGGGGAGACACAAAGACACGCGTGGGACACGCCGGGGTCACGGGGACACACGGGGTCACGGGGTCATGGAGACACACGGGGTCACACCAGGTCATGGAGAGACGCGGGGTCACACGGGGACACACGGTCACACGGGGTCATGGGAACACGTGGGGTCACGGGGTCACACGGGGTCACGCAGGGTCATGGAGACACGCGGGGTCACACGGGGTCACACGGGGTTATAGAGACATGCGGGGTCACGCGGGGTCACACGGGGTCATGGCGACACGCGGGGTTATGTGGTAACGGGGACACGGAGATAGAGGGAATCTTAATTAGGTTTCTGGATCGAGGTTCTATATGGGATGAAAGTTCTATAGGGGATATAAGTGTTCTATAGGGGATGTAAGTGACCTATATGGGATGCGAGGGATCTATATGGGATGGGAGTTCTATAGGGGATATAAGTGTTCTATAGGGGATGCGAGTGTTCTATATGGGATGCGAGGGATCTATATGGGATGCGAGTCGTTACAGGTGAGTCTTCATCGCAGGATTTGATGATGAACCGAGTTTCTTCGGTAGTCAAAACTGCAATCTCCTCCCAGATGAAGTCAATCTTTGGAGTCAGCCTGCAATGAGATCATCACAACCACCATCATTACCATCATCACAACCACCATCATCACCATCATCATCATCACCACCTTCAACATCATCATCACCATCATCGTCACCATCATCACCATCAGCACCATCATCATCATCAGCACCACCTTCAGCATCATCACCATCATCATTATCACCATCATCACCACCTTCAACATCATCACCACCAACATCACCACCACCATCATCATCATCACCATCATCACTATCATCACCATCATCACCAACACCAGCACCATCGTCACCATCATTGTCATCATCAGCAGCATGAGTTTCGGATTTCCCTGTCTCCCCGTGTCTCCCTGTGTCTCTGCGTGTCTCCCCGTGTCTCCCCGTGTCTCCCCGTGGTCTCCCCGCGTCTCCCCGCGTCTCCCCAATGTTTTGCCGAGGTGCGTGATGGCTACGGCGGTCAGGGGTACGGTGGCACGCGGGTGACACCTCTCACACAGTCCCACTCCTCCCCATGGCTGAAGGAACTAAATTGTGGCTCATTTGAAGGCCAACGTGGACAAATTGCACTGCGTAACACCATTTTTTGTTCCTGGGTACTCAGTGTTATTTTTCTATACCCTTTGGTTCTCTCCCACCTGATGATGGTTGCTTGTGCGGCGATCGAAACGTCGTGATCTATTATTTTTAATTACATGTTTTGTACCTACGTGATCTTACCGAAAGAACAAAGAGTATGGGATTCCTGCAGTCACGAAAGCTTCAAATAAAGATTGTTATTTTCTAATTGCTGATGCCTCAAAAGTACAGAGTATGGCTATCATACTGGTAGGAACCTACTGGTTCCACCAGCCCACAGGGGATTATTGTGTCCGTCCGTCCGTCGTGCAGGGAGGGGCTGGGTGTGGAGGGGAGGGTGGGGAGGGGCTGGGTGGGGATGGCGGGGAGGGGCTGCGTGGGGAGGGTGGGGCTGGGTGGGGGGTGGGAGGGGTGGGGCTGGGTGGCCAAGGGCTGGTCACCCCGTGGTGCCGTTATAAAACTCAACGTTTAACCTACTCACGCCGGCTTGTGCCCGCCCTCACAGTCGGCCATATTTGCGGAATACACCACGCCGCCATTGACCCTGGCCATTGACCGAGCAACCCAACGTTCCTACCAGCTCCCTCCGCAAGAATGTGTTTATTCCCCACAAACTTTGCATTTGTGAGCAGGACTTTACGTGAATGAATGACGCAAATTCACACCACGTTTTCTCATTGACAATAGGTACATTTCAAAATATCACTGTCCTGGTCACAAAAGCAAAGTTTGTGGGGCATAATAGCCACTTTCTGTACTTTAGAGGCATAAGCAATTATAAAATAACACTTACTACCCAGGAACTAAGGAAATAAATAAATTTGCTCCACACTGTCATTGATGGAGTGAATTATTAACTTTGCTTTTGTGTCCTGTTCACGAAAGCAAAGTTTGTGGGGAATAATCATATCCACTTTCTGTACCTTTGAGGCATAACAAGTGGTAAAATAACACTTAGTACACAGCAACAAAAAAAATTGTTACAAAAATAAAAAATTAATTGTTACACTGTTATTATCGAGGCTTCACCCCCCCCCCCCCCCGTTTCCTATGCGTACGCACATTGCCAGTAGACCCCCCCCCCTCCATATGCAAGCGAACATGTTTGGTTTAACCGCCCACTCTCCCTATGAGACTTGCCCCCCTAAAGCTAACGACGGTGGGGGGGGGGGTCTGTGTGTTGTCCTCGCGTCTCCGATTCTTTCGGTAAAGTCACGTACCAGTAAAACCTTGGATTGCGAGCATAATTCGTTACCGTGTTTGTAATCCAAAGCACTCGTATATCAAAGCACTTGTGTATCAGTTGTGATCACGTGACGCTCGGCAGACAAAGCGTATACACGTACTACTCGTATTGCAAGACCTCGCTCGTTTATCAAATTAATACTTATTTAAAAAATTTGCTCGTCTTGCAAAACACTCGCAGACCAAGTTACTCGCAATCCAAGGTTTTACTGTAGATAGAAAAAATCTATTTATCGCGACGTTTCGATCGCGACACAAGCGACCGTCTTCAGGCGAGACAACTGCCGAGGCTGACTTTAGCCGAAAGAACCAAAGATTTATGGATTCCCGCAGTCACGAAAGCTTCAAAATCAAGATTGTCCCCCCGCGTCTCCGTACAGATCCTGCTCCACGTAGACGCTCAGCCCCTGGGCGGAGACTCCGAGCCAGAGGGGGGAGCCCTGCGAGTTGGAGATGGGGAAGAATGAGACCCCATAGGCCTCCAGATCCTGGGCCACGGACAGGTACTCGACCATGGCCTGCCGCCTGCACACCACGTGGGTGGGACACGGGGGACACACGGGGAGACACACGGGGAGAGACACGGGGAGAGACACAGGGAAAGGCACACGGAGAGACACACGGAGAGACACACGGAGAGAGACACACGGGGAGAGACACGGGGAGAGACACACGAAGAGACACGGGGAGAGACACGGGGAGAGACACACGGGGGAGACACACGGGGGAGACACACGGGGAGAGACACGGGGGAGACACACGGAGAGACACAGGGAGAGACACACGGAGAGACACACGGGGGAAACACGGGGAGAGACACACGGAGGAGACACACGGAGGAGACACACGGGTGAGAGACACGGGGGAGAGACAAACGGAGGAGACACGCGGGAGAGAGACACGGAGAGGCACACGGGGAGAGACACGGGGGGAGAGACGGGGAGACACACGGGGAGACACGGGGAGAGACACGGAGAGACACACGGAGAGACACGGGGAGAGACACGGGGGAGAGACACGGGGGAGAGACACGGAGTAGAGACACGGGGAGAGACACGGGGAGAGACACACGTAAGAGCTAGGTAGCAGTTCATTGGGGACCTTACCCTGGTGGTGGTAAAAACTATAAAATAAACATATAATCGTAAAGGCGCTGCTACTCGCCAACAGCACCTTGCCCCAAGAGCCTGCTCGAGGCTACACGGGGGACCTTTGTCTTTGTAGTGAGCGCAGAGCGTTGCCCACCTGCTCATGCCCACGTGCTCCGCGTGCCACCTCGTCACCTTCTCCTCCCACTGCGCGCGGCTCAGGCTGAACTGCTGCACAACCCTGACGCAGCGGAGAGAGGACGCAGCGTGTGGGTGGCAGCCCCACCCCCCCTCTCCCCCCCCCCCCGTGTCTCCCCTCTCCCCCCCCCCGTCTCCCCTCCCCCCCCCCGTGTCTCCCCTCTCCCCCCCCCCCCGTCTCCCCTCTCCCCCCCCCCACGTGTCTCCCCTCTCCCCCCGTGTCTCCCCTCTCCCCCCCGTGTCTCCCCTCTCCCCCCCCCGTCTCCCCTCTCCCCCCCCCGTGTCTCCCCTTCCCCCCCCCGCGTCTCCCCTCTCCTCCCTCCGCGTCTCCCCTCCCCTCCCCCCGCGTCTCCCCTCCCCCCGTGTCTCCCCTCTCTCCCCGTGTCTCCCCTCTCCCCCCGTGTCTCCCCTCCCCCCCCCCGTGTCTCACCTGTCGGGCAGGAGCTCCTCGTCACTCTGGTACACGGTGGTGTCGCTGTGGGAGACAGCGGCCTCCGGTTAGCGCGGATGGCGACGCACGGCGCGAGAGAAGTTTCAACGAGCACACGCGCACAGGATGAACCACAGTGTCCTGCCGATCTCGTCTGCGGCGTTTGGCTCGCCATCGGACAACGGCGGTCGCCGCTTTCGTCTGCGCTGCTTCCGCGGCCGTCTGGAACGCTCTTGCCTCCCGGTATTATGAAGCCAGTGGGAGCCGCATGCAACTTTTAGATAATCATCATCATCATCTAGATTTAACACGTAGCATGCTTTCGCGACCAGTGTTATTCATAATCAACGTTTTTGGGTTTAGATCGCGTTATTTATAAATGTGTCGTAACCCTCCACCACCCGACACGGCCAATCAGTAAAAATGTGTCACGTTGACAAAAGACAAATAGTTCACTGCTTTAGCCCACCGGTGTGTTGAAGCCACAACATTTACAATTTGAGTACGACGTTTCGCTGGTAATTGCATCCAGCATCATCGGGCAATTCGACACATTTATAAATAACGCGATCTAAACCCAAAAACGTTGATTATGAATCATCTAGATTGACAAACCAATTTCTTTAGAACTGCTTCTTGTTGTTGGTGGTGTTGTGTTTAGTTTGTTGTCCTTCCCCTGCACCTCTATGGATCTCTATGGGTTTCTATGGGTTTCTCTGGGTCTCTGTGGGTCGATAGAAACACACGTTAAGAGTCCATTGTCTGCTGCTATGCATTCCCACGTGATGATGATGATGACGATAATCCCACGTGGTTGAGCTGCTATCATTTGTGACGGCCAGAGTCGCTTCTTCAAAAGAGCCGCTACCACACAGCAGCTCAGTGATTGGGGGCCTTACACCCGGTGGTGACATCAACAACAACAAAGCCACATTCTCTGCTGGTACCGTGTCTCCCTCCCCGTGCAAACCGCGGTGACTCTCCACGCCTCCCGACGCATCTGACCCCCCCCCCTGTCTGTGTGTACAAGTGTGTGTGTACGAGTGTGTGTGTGCACGTGTGTCTGTGTGTACAAGTGTGTGTGTGTACAAGTCTGTGTGTGTACAAGTGTGTGCGTGTACAAGTCTGTGTGTGTACAAGTGTGTGTGTACATGTGTGTGTACACGTGTGTCTGTGTGTACAAGTGTGTGTGTCCAAGTGTGTATGTGTGTACACGTGTGTCTGTGTGTACAAGTGTGTGTGTACACGTGTGTTTGTGTGTACAAGTCTGTGTGTACACGTGTGTCTGTGTGTACACGTGTGTGTGTGTGTGTGTCCACGTGTGTCTACCTCAGGTCCCCGTGCGCTGCCTGCGCCGCGTACGACGCGAGGAGAACGCAGGTCTCCGTCGGGCAGTGGAGGGCGTCGCTGACCACGGCGCGATGCGTCTGCAGGTAGAGCAACCTGTGGGAGGGGGGGGGAATGATTGGATGGCCGGCATCACGCCCGGCCGCCTTTGTCTCCCCCCGGTGCGGGTGTTTTATTACACACTGCACCACCGGTGCTCATTTTCAGGCTGAGTCGACCTCGGGGAAGTCCCAGGCCCGGGTCAGATATTCGCTGGCGCTGTTATTGGCCGTGAGCGGTGAACGAAGTTGGGTCTTTGCGGGGTGGCCATGTCAGGCTCACGGTAGCCATGTCAGGTTCACGGTGGCCATGTCAGGTTCAAGGTGGTAGTGTCAGATTCACGGTGGCCATGACAGGCTGCCTGTGGCCATGTCAAGTTCACAGCGGGAGTGTCAGGCTCACGATGGCCGTGTCAGGTTCACGACGGCAGTGTGAGGTTCACGGTGGCCATGTCAGTTTCAAGGTGGCCGTGTCAAGTTCACGGTGGCTGTCAGGTTCACAATGCCCGTGTCAGGCTCACAGTGGCCGTGTCAGGCTCACGGTGGCCGTTTCAAGCTCCCAATGACCGTATCAGGTTCATGGTGGCCTTGTCAGGCTCATGGTGGCCGTTTCAAGCTCCCAATGGCCGTGTCAGGAGCACGGTGGCTGTGTCAGGTTCACAATGCCCGTGTCAGGCTCACAGTGGCCGTGTCAGGTTCATGGTGGCCTTGTCAGGCTCATGGTGGCCGTTTCAAGCTCCCAATGGCCGTGTCAGGCGCACAGTGGCCGTGTCAGGAGCACGGTGGCTGTGTCAGGTTCACAATGCACGTGTCAGGCTCACGGTGGCCGTGTCAGGCGCACGGTGGCCATGTCAGGCTCACGGTGGCCGTGTCAGGCGCACAGTGGCCGTGTGGTGTTAACGGTGGCTGTGTCAGGTTCCCGATGGCCGACCTCAGGGTCACGTCCTGGATGATCTCGTCGACGTCCTCCGGGTAGAAGCGAACCCAGAGGCGCAGCGTGGCCACTGCACTTGCGTCGCTCTTCACCTGCGACAGCACCTGGAGCAGAGCACCAGCAGTAGGAGTAGCACGTCGTCTGTGTGTACGTGTTTGTGTGTACACGTGTGTGTATACACGTGTGTGTGTACGCGTGTGTGTGTACGCGTGTGTGTGTACGTGTGTATACACGTGTGTGTGCACGCGTGTGTGTGTGTGTACGTCTATGTATACGCGTGTGTGTGCACGTGTGTGTATATACACGTGTGTCTGTGTGTACAAGTGTGTATATACACGTGTCTGTGTATATACACGTGTGTGTGTATACACGTGTGTGTGTACACGTGTGTGTATACATGTGTGTGTGTACGCGTGCGTGTGTACGCGTATGTGTGTATGTGTGTGTATACACGTGTGTACACGCTTGTCTGTGTGTCCATGTGTGTCTGTGTGTACAAGTGTGTATGTGTACAAGTGTGTCTGTGTGTGCAAGTGTGTCTGTGTGTACAAGTGTGTGTGTACACGTGTGTCTGTGTGTACAAGTGTGTGTGTACAAGTGGGGAGCGATAGTGTAGCGGTTAGCGCGCTGCGCTATGAACCTGGCGACCCGAGTTCGATTCCCGCTCACGGCCAACACCAGTGACGATTATCTGAACCGGTCCCGGGCCTCTCCTAGGTCAACTCAGCCTAAAATGAGTACCTAGTGCGATGTGTAAACATCGCCGCTAGGGAGACAAAGGCGGCCGGGCGTGGTGTTGGCCACCCACCCCCTCGTGTGCCCTGCCGGCCTTCATAGGTGCTCGCTAACAGCACTTGCCCCTACAGTCTGTTAAGGCTATACGGGGGATCTTTGTCTTTTATCTTTGTGTACAAGTGTGTCTGTGTGTACAAGTGTGTGTGTACACGTGTGTCTGTGTGTGTGTACAAGTGTGTCTGTGTGTACAAGTGTGTGTGTGTGTACAAGTATGTGTGTACAAGTGTGTGTGTACACGTGTGTCTGTGTGTACAAGTGTGTGTGTGTACACGTGTGTGTGTGTACAAATGTGTGTGTACACGTGTGTCTGTGTGTACACGTGTGTCTGTGTGTACACGTGTGTCTGTGTGTCCACGTGTGTCTGTGTGCGACCAACCTTCTTGTTGAAGGACAGCCACTTGTCTCCGTGTTTGTTGTTGTAAGCGAGCCCGAAATACCAGACCTCCTTGAGCCCGATGGTGCGAGCGACCTGTGAGCGGACAGAGACACGCGGTGGCGACGACGGGGTGGGGGGGCACGGGGAGACGATGGGGGGGCACAGGGAGACGATGGGGGACACAGGGAGACTGGATTGAGTCCTCCAATTACAACCATCTGCCTGGAGCACGACTTGTGAGAAAAGCCGGGGTTACCTGGGTGGTGGGCGGGGCTTACCTGGGTGGTGGGCGGGGCTACCAGAGAGGTGGGCGGGGCTACCTGCTTGGTGGGCGGGGCTTACCTGGGCGGGGCTACCTGTTTGGTGGGCGTGGCTACCAGAGAGGTGGGTGGGGCTACCTGCTTGGTGGGCGGGGCTACCTGCTTGGTGGGCGTGGCTACCTGTTTGGTGGGCGTGGCTACCAAAGAGGTGGGCGGGGCTACCTGCTTGGTGGGCGTGGCTACCAGAGAGGTGGGCGGGGCTACCTGGGTGGTGGGCGGGGCCTACTTGGGTGGTGGGCGGGGCTACCAGAGAAGTGGGAGGAGTTAATAGGGGAGTGGGCGGGCTTAGCGGAGGAGTGGGCAGGTTCTATGAGCAATGGACATCGCCCTAGGTCGCCTCGGCCTTAAATGAGCAAACTGGTGCGTTGTGTAGTGAACATCAGCAATGGGGAGACAAAGGCGGCCGGGCGTGGTGCTGGCCACCCACCACTCTCCGTGTGCCGTTCCGGCCTTCATCGGTGCTGCCCCAACGGCAGTGCCGCATGAAGCTAAGTGCGGGGCCTGTAGCAAATGTTGTTATAAAGGGGGCCTAAATAAATAAATAAAAATACGTAAATATTAAAACACATTTGTTTAACTTGCATAGTAAAGTAATTGTATTTTTCCATTTGCTATACAGCCGGATAATACGACAAGTCGCTAACCTTAAACACCCCAGTCGTTCGTCAAAGTTGAAGGCGGTATAGTACTATAGTAATAGAGCAAGTGCAGCATCACTGAACCGGAATTGATAGCTTGAAAGCGTTTAGCGCGGGGCCCTTGAAAGTGCGGGGCCCCGTAGCTACTACACGTGCAGCCACCGCACGTGCAGCCACCGCACGTGCAGCCACCGCACGTGCAGCCACCGCACGTGCAGCCACCGCACGTGCAGCCACCGCACGTGCAGCCACCGCACGTGCAGCCACCGCACGTGCAGCCACCGCACGTGCAGCCACCGCACGTGCAGCCACCGCACGTGCAGCCACCGCACGTGCAGCCACCGCACGTGCAGCTACCGCACGTGCAGCTACTACACATGTAGCTACTACACATGTAGATACTTTTGCTACGATGATCATCCGGCACTGCCCAGCGGCCCGTTCGAGGCTCTACGGTGCATCTTTGTAGCTGTGTGTCCACACCTGGTCTAGAAGTTGTTTTCCAGTGGCGGTTGGCTGGATTTCAAAATCCATGTCGGCGTCCATGGTTAGGACTCTGACGGCGACCTGAACAAGAATAACACGGATACACACACGTGTAGAGATACACACACGTGTAGAGATACACACACACACGTGTAGACACACACACGTGTAGAGATACACACACACACGTGTAGAGATACACACACGTGTAGAGACACACACACACGTGTAGAGATACACACACACACGTGCAGATACACACACGTGTAGAGATACACACACACACGTGTAGAGATAGACACACACACGTGTAGAGATAGACACACACACGTGTAGAGACACACACACACGTGTGGAGACACACACACGTGTAGAGATACACACACATACACGTGTAGAGACACACACACACGTGTAAATATACATGGGAGCCTTGGGTTTTTTTAACCCTATCAGAGCCATAGTCAGGCTCTATTGAACCCTATGGTAGCCGTAGTCTGGCTCCATTGAACCCTATGGGAGCTGTAGTCTGGCTCAATTGAACCCTATGGGAGCCATACATAGTCTGGCTCTATTGGACCCTATGGGAGCCATACATAGTCTGGCTCTATTGGACCCTATGGGAGCTGTAGTCTGGCTCAATTGAACCCTATGGGAGCCATACATAGTCTGGCTCCATTGAACCCTATAGGAGCCGTAGTCTGGCTTCATTGAACCTTATGGGAGCCGTAGTCTGGCTCTATTGAACCCTATGGGAGCCATACATAGTCTGGCTTTATTTGACCCTATGGAAGCCATAGTCTGATTCTATTGATCCCTATGGGAGCCGCAGTCTGGCTTTATTTGAGCCCTATGGAAGTCATACATAGTCATACTCTATTGGCCCCTATGGAAGCCATAGTCTGGCTCTATTGAACCCTATGGGAGCCATAGTCTGGCTCAATTGAACCCTATGGGAGCCGCAGTCTGGCTTTATTTGACCACTATGGAAGCCATACATAGTCTGGCTCTATTGGCCCTATAGAAGCCATAGTCTGGCTTTATTGAACCCTATGGGAGCCATAGTCATGCTCAATTGCACCCCTATGTGAGCCAGAGTCTGGCTCTATTAGTCTCACCGGGTCAGGCATGGCGAGGGCTGTTGATGCAGGGAGTCTGCGAAGAAAGGAGACACAGTCAGACCCGAGACGCTGCATCGTAAAAAACCTTGTACGGGCCTCCGCTAGGTCGACTCAGCCTCAAATGAGTACTGTACCTGGTAGACAGAAGCACTGGGGGAGACAAAGGCGGCTGGGCGTGGCGAATCCCACGCCCCCTCCCCCACTTACCTGAGGTACATAGTTCAGGTAAGGCCCAATTGAGTTGTGTAGCTCTTTCTCAGAGTGAACCTGGCCACCACAAATGACAACTCAACGAAGAGGCTTTTCGTCATCATCATCGTCGTGTGGAATTTTATAGCAGCAGCCAAAATACTCTCAACGCGTTTTAATGATTCCCTTTTTTATTAGAAAGAACAAAAGTCCATGCACTTAATAGTCTACGAGGGGAAGCTCTGCTAGCTTTGACCGTTTTCGAATTATTCAGATGTGAACGTCGTAAAATGCGTAACTTTTTTCGTTCAAAACCGCTGCTTGAATCCGAAATATCTAAACAATAATTAAAGATCGAATAATGGTTTTCATACTATACTCTGTAGTTATTTCGGTAAAGTCACGTAGGTAAATATATATATATAGAAATAAAAAAAAGTAAATGAAATCATGACGTTTCGATTGCAACACAAGCAATCATCATCAGGTGTGAAAATCACAGCTAGAATTTTTTTGCTAAAGTACAACTTTAGTAAAATTAATAGATCACGAAGTTTCGATCGCAACACAAGCAATCCGTCATCAGGTGAAACAAACACAGCAGGAGAACTGCTGTCGTAGACAGAAAGAGCTGCTACAACAAGAGTTTATATAAGCTGTTGGTGGGTCCAACCCAAGGGTAAGTGGGGAAAAACGCAATCTTATATTGTGAATCGTTTCTGAATGACACCACACACACAAAGGTGTTTACGGGTCACTGTTGTTTGCGTCCTAAAATCTACCCATGTACCATACCTTGTCGGGAAGTGCCCTAGATGTTTTTTGAGACATACAGATTAGGGTCTTTGTTTATATAGATAATCTCACGGCAAAATAAGAACAGGTTTTACCCTACTCTTTGGTAAAAAACACAACAACAAAAAACAGAGTATGGATCCTTGCAGTCACGAAAACTTCAAATCTAGAATTAGGTTTTACCCCTGCTGGCAATGAAACAGGTGTTAAGATCAGTTTAACAGGTAGGCTTTCGCGACCAATATCATCCATGAATGGCGATTACCTGTACGCAGATAATAGCAGGCACTGCTATTTTATTTCACGAAAACGACAGGACGTACAAGAACTATCTACAGTAAACCCTTGGATTGCGAGTAACTTGGTCTGCGAGTGTTTTGCAAGACGAGCAAAAAATTTAAATGAATATTAATTTGATAAACGAGCGAGGTCTTGCAATGCGAGTAGTACGTACACGCTTTGTCTGCCGAGCGTCACGTGATCACAACTGATATACAAGTGCTTTGATATACGAGTGCTTTGGATTACAAACACGTTTCCGGAACGAATTATGCTCGCAATCCAAGGGTTTACTGTACATGCTTAATATGCCTTGATTACCATATGAATAACCCAACCGGCAATGGATACCCATTGTTATTTAGATGCATTCTCTAAGGGATCACAAGTGACGCCATCACATCTACCCCTCTATTTAAGGAACGAAACAGTTAGACTTCTTCACAAATCAGGCTGTCGTCTGATGAAGCTAGTTATAATTACTGGTGAAACGTCGTACTCAGATTGTAAATGTTGTTGTGACTTGGCTCTCCAACACACCGGTTAGTGCTGTACTAGTAAACTACACTATACACTACACTATACACTAGTGCTGTACTAGTATACTACACTATACACTACACTACACACTAGTGCTGTACTAGTATACTACACTATACACTACACTATACACTAGTGCTGTACTAGTATACTACACTATACACTACACTGTACACTAGTGCTGTACTAGTATCGAATTGGCACTTTCCGTTTACATGACAAACCTAATAATTGGCTGTGTAGGGTGGTGGTGGGTTTAACGACACATTTATATTCGCGCACTCTAACCCCCCAAAAAAACTATATTATAGCTGTTAAGATGTTCAAACACCAACTTAGACACCTTTTGCATGTTTTGCTAAATATTTGTTGCCACAAGTATGTGTGGCTGATGCAGACTTGATGATACCTTGCAAAAGGTGTGTGTGTGTCTATTTGGTGTTTGTACGTCTTAACACAACTTTTGTGTTATTGCCATATAGGGTATTGTTTTTTGATACTGGCAAAAAGGTGTCCCGTAGATACAACTGCTCAACCCAAGTTATTCAAGTTTTGACACTTGTGCTAATTTATTTGTGCTGTTCGCCTTTTGGCGTCGTTCTCTGGTCTACTGACACTGCCGGTGAGACTAGGCCATGAAGAAGGCTGCTGCTGTGTCTGGTGTGGGCCAATCAGTTTCAAAGACAATGCCACGTGACATTATAGTTACATTATTATTCAAAACAATGCATACACAAGTACTAATATAGTATTAATAAACTGGTCTACTGACACTGGTGATGAGACTAGGCCATGAAGATGGCTGCTGCTGTGTCTGGTGTAGGCCAATCGGTTTCAAAGACAATGTCACGTGACATTATAGTTCCATTATTATTAATAAGTATAACCCGTAATAACAAAGTTTTTCACTATAAATCCTTTATATGCGTGGCGGCTAGAGTCCTCTCGTCCTCTGGCTTGAGATGGCTGCCACCTATGGGTCAGATGATTGTCTGCCAGTATTAAGCAATTGGTAATTAAATATTTAATTTGTTTTCCCTAAACAGTGTAAAATTTTGGAAAAATTTTTCCACAAACATTAATTGTCTCGCACAACGAGTCTGTGTGCAAAATGTCAGCTCGATTGGATCACGGGAAGTGGGTTAAAAAAACGACCGAAAGATTTGCACGGTCGTAAGCAAGCAAGCAAGCGAACTTAATATAAAGGATTTAAAAACAACGCATACATAAGTACTAATATAGTATGATTACACTGGTCTACTGACTCTGCTAGTGAGACTAGGCCATGAAGATGGCTGCTGCTTTGTTTGGTGTAGGCCAATCAATTTCAAAGACAATGCCCTCGAAATTATCGGAGCATATTTGTTTGCGCGTTTTGCTACAACAAGTATGTATGGTTATTGGCAGACTTGATGATGCCTTGCAAAAGGTGTGTGTGTGCGTGTCTATTTGGTGTTTGAACATCTTAACACAACTCCCCGCTTCTATATTATGGCCAGAAAGGATTCAACACCTATTCAGATCTTTCATCTGTTTTTGATTCTGGCAAAAAAGGTCCCATAGAGACTTGTAACTGCAAGTATACTGTGTAGGCGCGTGTGTGTGTGTAATTGTGCCAACATGTACACGTATGTGTGTGTGTCAAGGCCGTAATTATAATATTGGGGGGAGACACATCCCCTCCCCAATATTCAAATATGTTCAAAATGTCCCCCCCCCCCCCCAATATATTGCCATAAAATAGATTTCTGTTTATATGATTGTGGTTATGGTTGTACTTTATTAATTCCTAATCTCTGCCATCATACAATGAAACAAGAAAAGGTAACAAAAAAAACAGAGCAATGTAATACAATACACTATTAGACATTATTGTAAAAAATAAATAAAAATAAGATAATGTTGACTCCATGGCTATGACCTTGGTGTGCGGGCATATAGATTGTATAATAGCGCGTAGAGCGCATGCACCTAGCCTGGCACAAGCGGCGTGCTATCCGTCACCGCAGCTCAGTTAGCGAATGGTGCTGGGGGTCGTTGTTGTTACTGTTGTTGTGTAAACGTGCAACGTTTCACTTACTGAGATGTGAGACAAAGACGGGCCCCGGGAACGCTGTACGAGTTGCTGCCAACCGACACCAGCACCACCACCAGCCAACGCCAGCCACTGACTTGACTGCGGAGTTAATAGGCGCTCGCTAACTCGGGCGCTTGGCACCAACGATGGGGGTCCACTTCGCCTCTCGTGTTCCGTAGCAGAGACCTCTCGGGCCGGGTCCAAGGGTCGCACGGAACATCTTGCTTGCCGAGACACACGCAACGCCCTTTGGACATTGCCCTGCGAGAGTTGTGGGTGAGCGGGTAGGCGAGTGGGTGATTGGTGGGTGAGTGGGTGATTGGGAGAGTGAGTGGGTGATTGGTTGAGTGTGTGAGTGAGTGGGTGGGTAGGTGAGTGGGTGATTGGGAGAGTGAGTGGGTGGTCGAGTGTGTGAGTGAGTGGGTGGGTAGGTGAGTGGGTGATTGGGAGAGTGAGTGAGCGAGTGGGTGATTGGGAGAGTGAGTGGGTGGTTGAGTGTGTGAGTGAGTGGGTGGGTAGGCGAGTGAGTGAGTGGGTGGTCCAGTGTGTGAGTGAGTAGATGGGTAGGTGAGTGGGTGATTGGGAGAGTGAGTGAGTGGTTGAGTGTGTGAGTGGGTGGGTAGGTGAGTGGGCAATTGGGAGAGTGAGTGGGTGGGTGGGTGGGTAGGTGAGTGGGTAATTGGGAGAGTGAGTGGGTGGTTGAGTGTGTGAGTGAGTGGGTGGGTAGGTGAGTGGGTGATTGGGAGAGTGAGTGGTTGAGTGTGTGAGCGAGTGTGGATAGGTGAGTGGGTGATTGGGAGAGTGAGTGAGTGGTTCAGTGTGTGATTGAGTGGGTGGGTAGGTGAGTGGGTGATTGGGAGAGTGAGTGAGTGGTTGAGTGTGTGAGTGAGTGGGTAGGTGAGTGGGTGATTGGGAGAGTGAGTCAGTGGTTGAGTGTGTGAGTGGGTGGGTAGGTGAGTAAATTAGATTTTGAGTGGCTGGTTTTATTGGTAAGTGGGTGTAAAGATGAGTACTCTGAGTGAGTGATTTGGAGGGTTAATGTACGTGCGTGGGATGGGTGATTGGTTATGTGGGGGAGCGGTAGCCGAGTGGTTAGCGCACTGCACACCAGCTACTCGGTTAAGGCTGAGAACACATCAGCACTGGGGAGACAAAGGCGACCGGGCGTGGTGCAGGTCTCACCACCCCCTCGTGTGCCGTGCCAACCTTCATAGGTGCTACTCGCTTACAGCACTTGCCCCAACAGTCTGTTAAGGCTATAAGGGGGGTCTGTGTCTATGAGTGGGTGAGTGAATGAATGGATGAGTGAGTAAATGAGAATGTGAGTGAGTGTTTGGTTGAATGAGAGTGAGTGTGAGAGTGACAGTGTGTGAGTGAGTATGGTTGAGTGAGAGTGAGTGTATGAGTGAGAGTGTGAGTAAGTGTATGGTTGAGTGAGAGTGTGTGAGTGAGAGTGTGTGAGTGAATATGGTTGAATGAGAGTGAGTGTATGAGTGAGAGTGTGGGAGTGAGTATTGTTGAGTGAGAGTGAGTGTATGAGTGAGAGTGTGATTGAGTGTATGGTTGAGTGAGAGTGTGTGAGTGAGTGACAGTGTGTGAGTGAGTGACAGTGTGTCAGTGAGTAACAGTGTGTGAGTGAGAGTGTGAGTGAGTGTATGGTAGAGTGAGTGAGTGAGAGTGAGTGAGTGAGAGTGAGTGAGAGTGCGTGAGTGAGAGTGTGAGTGAGTGAGAGTGAGTGAGTGTGTGTGAGTGTATGGTTGAGTGAGAGTAAGTGAGATTGAGTGAGTGAGAGTGAGTGAGAGTGAAAGTGAGTGAGTGAATGAGTGTATGGTCGAGTGTGTGAGTGAGTGTGTGAGTGTATGGTTGAGTGACAGTGAGTAAGTGTATGGTTGAGTGAGAGTGTGTGACAGAGTGTATGGTTGAGTGAGTGTGTGAGTGACAGTGTGTGAGTGTGTGTGAGTGAGTGAGTGTGAGTGAGTGTATGGTTGAGTGAGTGTGAGTGAGTGTGAGTGTGTGTGAGTGAGTGTATGGCTGAGTGAGTGAGTGTATGAGTGAGTGAGTGTATGGTTGAGTGAGTGAGAGAGTGAGTGTATGAGTGAGTGTGTGTGAGTGTGTGAGTGTATGGTTGAGTGAGTGTGAGTGAGTGTGAGTGTGTGTGAGTGAGTGTATGGCTGAGTGAGTGAGTGTATGAGTGAGTGAGTGTATGGTTGAGTGAGTGAGAGAGTGTATGAGTGAGTGTGTGTGAGTGAGTGAGTGTGTGAGTGTATGGTTGAGTGAGTGTGTGTGTGAGTGAGTGAGCGTGAGTGTATGGTTAAGTGAGAGTGATTGAGTGTGTGACGTGGCGGGTGAATGATTGACTCCTGCCATGCCGAGTGATCTGGTTGATGGTGATCAGGTTGATGGCATTTTAACTGGGCCCATTCGCTTACCGTGAATCTCCGGGGTTAATGATCAACCCTCAACGTCAACTCTTTGGGGGTTGCTTCTCCTCTAAGGCACTGGTGGGAGAGACCATCCCTATAATCACGGGGCTCTTATGTTGTCAAACCCACCTGGTATGCAGGAGGACGGGGGTTCGATCCGCAGTGGCTGAGGTGAGGGGGGTGAGGAGGGAGAATCCCACAAACCCCGCTACCCACCCCTTCTAGAAGCAAGGGCACTGCCACTGTGACCAGTTTGACTTGGTGGCTGGCGTTGCCGTTAAAATAAAACCCCCATTAAGTTTAATAGGGCAACGAGGAATTTGCGAGGTTCCCCATTGGAGGACGCAGTGCAAGCCGAGTTGATTGGCTGAGGTGGCGAGGGCCAGGATGTAGTGTGGAGTTTGTCTGGGGCAAGGATGTTGTGTGGAGTTTGTCTGGTGCCAGGATGTAGAGTGGAGTTTGTCTGGTGCCAGGATGTTGTGTGGAGTTTGTATGGCGCCAGGATGTTGTGTAGAGTTTGTCTGTGGCCAGGATGTTGTGTGGAGTTTGTATGGTGCCAGGATGTTGTGTGGAGTTTGTCTGGTGCCAGGATGTAGAGTGGAGTTTGTCTGGTGCCAGGATGTAGAGTGGAGTTTGTCTGGTGCCAGGATGTAGAGTGGAGTTTGTCTGGTGCCAGGATGTTCAGTGGAATTTGTCTGGTGCCAGGATGTAGAGTGGAATTTGTCTGGTGCCAGGATGTTTTTGTGGAGTTTGTCTGGTGCCAGGATGTAGTGTGGAGTTTGTCTGGTGCCAGGATGTTAAGTGGAGTTTGTCTGGTGCCAGGATGTAGAGTGGAGTTTGTCTGGTGCCAGGATGTTGAGTGGAGTTTGTCTGGTGCCAGGATGTAGAGTGGAGTTTGTCTGGTGCCAGGATGTTCAGTGGAGTTTGTCTGGTGCCAGGATGTAGAGTGGAGTTTGTCTGGTGCCAGGATGTAGAGTGGAGTTTGTCTGGTGCCAGGATGTAGAGTGGAGTTTGTCTGGTGCCAGGATGTAGAGTGGAGTTTGTCTGGTGCCAGGATGTAGAGTGGAGTTTGTCTGGTGCCAGGATGTAGAGTGGAGTTTGTCTGGTGCCAGGATGTTGTGTGGAGTTTGTCTGGTGCCAGGATGTTGTGTGGAGTTTGTCTGGTGCCAGGATGTTGTGTGGAGTTTGTGTGGTGCCAGGATGTAGAGTGGAGTTTTTCTGGTGCCAGGATGTAGTGTGGAGTTTTTCTGGTGCCAGGATGTTGTGTGGAGTTTTTCTGGTGCCAGGATGTTGTGTGGAGTTTGTCTGGTGCCAGGATGTTGTGTGGAGTTTGTCTGGAGCCAGGATGTTGTGTGTAGTTTGTATGGTGCCAGCATGTTGTGTTGAGTTTGTATGGTGCCAGGATGTTGTGTGGAGTTTGTCTGGTGCCAGGATGTTGTGTGTAGTTTGTATGGTGCCAGCATGTTGTGTTGAGTTTGTATGGTGCCAGGATGTTGAGTGGAGTTTGTCTGGTGCCAGGATGTTGAGTGGAGTTTGTCTGGTGCCAGGATGTAGAGTGGAGTTTGTCTGGTGCCAGGATGTAGAGTGGAGTTTGTCTGGTGCAAGGATGTAGAGTGGAGTTTGTCTGGTGCCAGGATGTAGAGTGGAGTTTGTCTGGTGCCAGGATGTAGAGTGGTGTTTGTCTGGTGCCAGGATGTAGAGTGGAGTTTGTCTGGTGCCAGGATGTAGAGTGGAGTTTGTCTGCTGCAAGGATGTTGTGTGGAGTTTGTCTGGTGCCAGGATGTAGTGTGGAGTTTGTGCGGTGCCAGGATGTTGTGTGGAGTTTGCGTGGTGCTAGGATGTTGTGTGGAGTTTGTGTGGTGCCAGGATGTTGTGTGTAGTTTGTCTGGTGCCAGGATGTAGTGTGGAGTTTGTGTGGTGCCAGGATGTTGTGTGGAGTTTGTCTGGGGCCAGGATGTTGTGTGGACACACCAACTATTACTAGGGGGCTATCTGCCCATGGACCGTGATGATGATGATGAAGATCCGGACAGCGTTTTTTGTTGCACCGCTTAAACCTTCACCCTTTATTACGCGAATCCAAACACAAAGGTTCCATCCCCAAACGATTCCTGGTCAGCCACACGCGTGTGTCGTGTTCATCAGGAGCAGCATGCGCACAGCGAATTCCACACACGCAGACACACACATACACACACGCACGCACACACACACACACACGCACGCGTAATTGATTGATCACCGGCTCCGTTTTCTCACCAGATGAACCGTGCACGGGCATCGACTCACGAACGACATCCCGCGACGTGTGGCTGTGTGCCGGAAATGAGTTTTTTTTAATAATTATGTCTTTTTCCAAATCATATTAAAGATAAAAAGTAAAAACAACAGCCCCCCATGGCCACATTGATACATACCCTTGGCCATGCTGATGCATATCCATGGCATAAGCCTGCAGTGGTCAACATTCCCAGCAACTGGATCTATTCTGCGGTGGATCTCAACGGAGGAATCAGCGATCTGCTCTTATCGACAATTAACTCGGGTGGATCTAACCCTGCAATACCCTCAAGGCCAGCATTGCCACATTCCCCGATAATACATTGTCGGTAGTGTGAGAGCCGTAACACCATTTGAAACCATTGGGTTTGGTTTGACAGCAGCACGATGATGATGATGCGGTGTTCTCACTCTTTGTGTCTTGTTAGCGGCTACACAAGAGGCCACCAGGGGCCGCCAGTAGACCACGGGGCCTTGCAATGAAGAACGCTGCTCGAGACACACCAAGCAATATCGCCATCTGGTGGTA